AAACCTTTATCTTGGTCCTTGCTTGTATACAGGCTGGTTCAATAAACCTTTATCTTGGTCCTTGCTTGTATACAGGCTGGTTTAACAAACCTTTATCTTGGTTCTTGTTTGTATACAAGTTGGTTTAATAAACCTTTATCTGGGTCCTTGTTTGTATACAGGTTGGTTTAATAAACCTTTATCTTGGTTCTTGCTTTTATATAGGTTGGTTTAATAAACCTTTATCTTGGTCCTTGCTTTTATACAGACTGGATTAATGACCTTTATCTGGGTCCTTGCTTGTATCTAGGCTGGTTCAACAAACTTTTCTCTAGAGACTAGGTCCTTGCTTGCATACAGGCTGGTTCAACAAACCTGTAGCTGGGTCTTTGCTTTTATACAGACTGGTCCAAAAAATCTTTATCTCGGTCCTTGATTGTATACAATGCCAGTGTGTTAAAAAATTTCACATGATATATATGATTGAATGAGAATAGGAGATTTTTTCATAATCAATTTAAACATTGTAAAGATGTAAACATATTTATCCACAGAAATAATATTTTACAGGGGTAAATCCAACAAATAACTGACAAAAATAACAGACATCTCATTTATCTTTGCAATTTCTGCACTTTTGTTGTTCATTAATCAGAAGAGCTGAAACATGCTTTAGGAGATTAAATTCTTGAGACTTTATAACAAATTGATTTATACTCTAGCCAGCAGCTTGATTTCCACTTGAGCTGGTACCTTTTGAACAAACAGACATAAGTTCAGTCCTTCGTGAAGCTATTTCAGATTTAATTTTGTTTTTTTGTTTCAAAAGTTCTAAGCCTAGGTTTACCTTGTCACGTGAACAAATTTTGAAATAAGATTAAGCGTAGAAATCCACCAAGTTTATTTTTATTTAAACACCACTTCAATCTTTAAAGTCTGTAGCTTGAATTGAACGTTGAGTGAAACGGTTTTAGATACATTAATAGCAGGCCATCAAACCATTAACGTAGTGTTATTATGGACTAAACAATTAAACCCAAATGTTACAGCATTGAAAATGAAACTGGCAATAACAGGAACCATCCATCCATGTTAATGGTTATACACCAATATTGGATCAGATCAGCCATCAAACTCACTTTACACCATCCAACATACAATTTCAAGACCATTTTGAGAAGATGAAAGAAATAGAATATTCTATCTATAAACTTAGCTTGTCTGTCTTGCCTGTCTGCCATATCCAATTAACGTCAAAACGGCTGAACCCATCGTGCCCACATTTTTTTGAGGCAACTCACATGACCCCAGTGAAGATTTATGGATGCTCAAAATCACAAAAATTTTATTAGACCACGAACATTTTTATTTAATTCACGAACCTTTTTGTTATTGTTTTATAATGTACACAAAGAAGATGCTCACAATTTAAATAGAAGATGGGCGCGAAGCGCCCTAAAAGCCTACTATAATTTGATAACTTCTGTTTGTTTGTTTGGATGCCCAATCATAACTCATGAACCTCTTACCCTGTTTGACGCAAATTTTGATTGGGGAACTCGGAAGAAACACGGGAATATTTTGTTGAGTTTTGTTTAGTTGAGTGATTCAAGAAAAATATCTAAAAACGTAATTTACGACCAAAAGTGTGAGTAAATGGTGGGTGTAACGATGAATAACCTGGGCAACGTTGGGTTTTAAGCTAGTGCTATGAGTGCTATATACAATTGAAATGAATATCGCATTCGCAGCTTTTCAAAATTAAGAAATATTTAAACCAGGAAAAATAATTATTATCAACTATTTTTTTTTATTTTTACCAACTTCCTGAATTAAAGGAAACAAAATCATCTGATATTTTTTAATTTCGCAAACTTTAAATTATAAAAAATGGATTATTTCTAAAAAATGTAAAATGGGGGTGATATGAATTCTGTAGTTGTTCATGAATTACCATGGAATCCTTTAAGATATATATATTATGTGTTAACAATAGAATAAATTGAACAATATTATAAGATCCAATATTTTCTATTCGACTCTTTCTTCCTCCTTCAAGTGTATCTATTACTATCTATTCCTTACATATCTAATACCATATTCAAGCTACAAAAGCTTTATTCTTCGATCAGAACATGTAGAATCACATAATACAGTTTTTTTTTTATCATTTTATATATATATTTTTTTTTGGCAAACCTCAAGTATTTTGGGGCTGAAATAATCTTGTTAAAGAATTATTTTATTTTTGTCTGATTTATTTCTGTGTCACCCTGTGATGAAACAAAAGATTGATAAACAAAAAGAAGAGTGATGAATAGATTGGAATGAGACTAACAACTATTCTTTTGAGAATTAACTCTTAATATTAAAGAAAAAAAAAATATATATCTATTTATGTTTATCAGGGGCTTAGTGGGGGGGGGGCTGTGGAAACCCCCTTCTTCTATTATATAAAAAACCTAGTACCCCCCCCCCCTTAGTCATTTTTACTGGCCACTTATCTAAATTTCTGGAAAAGAATAATAAGGTCATTAAGAAATATGTGTAGGAGGGAGGGGGGGGGGGGTGTCCACAACTGATCTCTTATTGATATAGATTTTTAAACCTAATACCAGATAAATTACTTGAATGAAAAAGAACATGACAAAACTATGAAATCTTGATATTTCAGGAAGATTCACCGAAAATAGTTTGTTAGCGGCAAATGACGACGGATCTATTCTTTAAAGAGGTAAATATATATATTTCCATTAATGTTTTTTTACTCATTATATTTTAAAACCATATCAAACGATTATTTGGGTAAAGTACTAATACTAATGGATTTCTGAATGGGTTATGTGAAGTATGGTTTTGCAGAGGATTAGAACGTGTATAATAACGTTTTATAGCATGAATGAACAAGAATGTTAAAAATCCAGCAAAAAAAGTTTTACAGTTCTATGAACTTTGAAAATCCACTAGTAAAGCTTTAAATTTTTTCGGTGAAAAAAGTTTCCCCTCCCTAGTGCCTGGGTTTCCCTTTCTTGTGCCTGGGTTTCCCCTCCTTAGTTTCTGGGTTTCCCTCCCTTGTACCTGGTTTCCCCTCCCTAGTGCCTGGGTTTCCCTCCCTTGTGCATGGGTTTCCCCTCCTTAGTGTCCGGGTTTCCCTCCCCTGGTTTCCCCTCCCTAGTGCCTGGGTTTCCCTCCCTTGTGCCTGGGTTTCCCCTCTCTAGTGCCTGGGGTTCCCTCCCAGTCCCTATTGCCTGGATTTCCCTCCCTATTGCCTGAGTTTCTCCCTAGTGTCTGGGTTACCCCTCCCTAGTGCCTGGGTTTTCCCCCCAGTGTCTGGGTTTCCCCTCCCTAGTGTCTGGGTTTCCCCAATATGACCTAAAGGAGAGAAGTTTTCAATGGAATCTGTAGAGGTTAGAGTCGGAGAATCAATCAATCATTTATCTATCTTCTATCATGTTTAAAAACTGGATTTTTCATCCTGGTATATTTATCTTGATTTTTGATTTTTGATTTTAAAGAAAGACATTGTTCATGTAGGTTCCAGGCTTTTTGACACTAAAATACTAGTGTAAAATATTTGGTTAAAGTGTTTAAAGGATTGTAATGTAAAATTTACAACGGTGCATCTTAATTCTTAATCCAAGAAACAATTTTATAAAAGCTTTTTAAGGGTAAATATTTCTTTTAAAATGATTCCTAAAACCCAAAAATGTATTTATGTTTACCTCCCAAACACAATAAATAAAAATTGATAAGAACAACATGTGCCCCAGTGAGTTCTCCTTGAATTGGACAAATCTTAGTCACATTCCTGCTTTTCTTACCTGCAGAAATCCATGATTTTCTGCAGGGGTGTATATTTTGAAAGAATTAACTGCGGGAAAAAATTGGTCATGAAAAGGCAAGTTTCTCATCCTTTTTCATACTTTTTACCCAACAGCTAATTTTTCCCTCTAAAAATAATTAAATTTCCCCAATTCCCTAAACATACCTATCTTCTGGAGAAAAAAAGAGGGGGGGGGGGGTTTATGATTTTCAGTAAAATATTCACCCCTGGTTCTGACTTTCATACAGAAAAACTTAAATATTTCCGTCAACACTTTTTAAAATAATCCCTTTAAAATCTTGTTTTGACAAGTTTTTTAATATTTCAGCCTAAGATGATTGAAAAAAGCAAGTAGTTCTAGTCAATGGGATAAAAACATAAAACTACAGTATTACAGAGGGTTACCCACAAAGAATGAGACTCCAGAGACTTCTATACGGAATTAAGACTGTCTGGTTGCCGTCCACTGTAAACTTGATACTTTCTTTGCTAAATCATTAAAAAAGCCATTAAAAGAATATTTTTCAATTCAGACGACTTAATTTAACCTTGATTTAGTCATATTTTAAGAATTTCAAGTCGTCTTTACAGTCTCATCCTTTGGTGGTAATCCTGTAGATTATGGGGTATAACATAAAAGGCCAGAATTATACGCTTTGGGATGAAAACATTGAACTTTATTTTCAAGTATGGCAGACCTGGATAATTTCTCTACCCGGGGGTATCCTTCTCAGTTCTCTATATCCCAGGTAACAAAATTACTCAAATAAATACAAATGTTATAATCGTGTTTTTATTTAATGTTTTGAGACAGTAAAGTTGATTAATTTATACTTACAGAAAACTACTTGATAGAAAATAGTATTTTCTAATGAAAGGGCATACAAGGGAAAACTAGGGCACACATGGAGAATAAAAGTTAGGTTTCTTTACATTTCTTTTTTAAACACAGATTGCCAACGTAATGTAGAGCAACCAACAATGATTAGATCTATATTTGTTTTTGTAAAAAGGATGAAAAATAAATAGCCCCTTAGGAAACAGTTAAAAATTACTTTTTTACTTGGATTTCACATAAAAATTCTGATAAAAATCTAAGTTGTTTTTACGTGTGACGATTTAAGAAAAAGATTTCATTAAAGGGAGAGAATGTAGTATTGTTCAGTAATTTTTTTAGGATTAATTTGAGACCTATAAGACGTTTTTACTGTGTATATTTGTTCAACAAGAGCGCAAATCCAGTCTTAAAAATCCTCATAGATTGTCCAATGTCCATTTTGGAGAGATGATTTTGAGAATCGGTATTTTAAAAACTATTCAATGAGGACTACGAAAAATGTAACAACAATTTGACGGTAAACTAATAAGTTTAGGAACAGATTGAGAAAACAAAAATTAACTCTTATCATCGAGAATAAATAATCTTATTTAGTTATTTGTTTCTGTAATCTCTCATTTTTCACAAGCATTTTCTGTAGATTTCCTGCAATTTTTATTGAAAAGACGACATTTGAAGAATTTGAAGAAGTCTGCAAACAAATTTGTAAAAAGAATAAAAAATTGATTTAACATTAATTTTATACTTTCTATTGAGAAATCCAATTAGTTTACTTTAGAATTGTTGTTACATTTTTCGTCGAATTGTTATTGAAAACAAATTTTAAGAACTGATTTTCAAAATCAAAACTGCATTTTCAGTTCAACTACCATACCTGGCCGGGCACTCCCTTTGAAAAATGTGAATCTCATTCCTGAACTTCAAGTATATTTTTAGATGTAAAAATATTTCAATTTTCATAAAACTAAGTTTATCCTGATCACATTCTAACTTTGGTTGCAGCTCAGTTACAGAAACTGCACAAAGTTTGACCAAATTGGAATAATTCAACTTTTCAATGGTTTCCGAGTAGACGAGAGCAGTGATAGAGGTTAACCAACCCAACAACAACAATGCAACAACAGTAGTCCAGGTAAACAACAACAATACAATAACAGAAGTCCAGGTAAACAACAACAATATAACAACAGGAGTCCAGGTAAACAACAACAATACAATAACAGAAGTCCAGGTAAACAACAACAAAACAATAACAGAAGTCCAGGTAAACAACAACAATGCAACAACAGGAGTCCAGGTAAACAGCAACAATACAACAACAGGAGTCCAGGTAAATAACAATAATACAATAACAGAAGTCCAGGTAAACAACAACAATGCAACAACAGGAGTCCAGGTAAACAATATCATTACAATTACAGGAGTCCAGGTAAACAATATCATTACAATTACAGGAGTCCAGGTAAACAATATCATTACAATTACAGGAGTCCAGGTAAACAATAACAATGCAACAACAGGAGTCCAGGTAAACAATACCATTACAATTGCAGGAGTCCAGGTAAACAATAACAATGCAACAACAGGAGTCCAGGTAAACAATAAATTAAATTATTAAAGATAATTTTGAAAAATTTTCGTCATGTAAAATGTAAATAATACATTTACGAACCATTTTGATTTATTTATTCCATGGTTTTGGTTAATTTTTGGCGCTACCCGGATCCATATCAACGTTTCCTGATACGGATCTGGATCCGGATCCGGATCCGACCAAATGATACGGATCCGACCGGATCCGGATCCGGATCCGAAACACTGATTACAATTACAGGAGTCCAGGTAAACAATAACAATGCAACAACAGGAGTCCAGGTAAACAATAACAATACAACAGCAGAAGTCCAGGTAAACAATAAAAATGCAACAACAATTTAATAGTTGACAATTTGTACAGAATACCCAGTTTGCTCTAGTTTTCATATGAGGAAACCCACAGGCCACAAGCAAAACAGCAGTATCGAAAATACAATTGCAGAAAAAAAAGATAAAAGTTTGAGAAACATAAGTATACGTTTAATAAAACAGAAAAGTTTGATTTTACAACTGTTTGAACTGTATATTTTATAAAACTATTTCATATGATTTAGTAAAAATACTATTAAATGTAAACTTTCAGAACTTCCTTCAACTACTTTCTTTTGAACCAATTTTAACGTTTTCAAAAATGCTTAATTAAAGGTTTCTTTGCATTCGAGACACACGGAAGTGAGAATAAATCATATATTGTCTAGTCGAGTTCTGAGTTTAAAGCATTAACAATTGGGCGAAATAAATTTTCAACAAATTTTATTTTTATTTTATTGAAATTTTATATCTGAAGTCTAAATAATAGTTTTTAAATCATTTGACTTTTAAAAAGCATGCAGCATTTTAACCCATTTTCTTGGTGAAATTTCTTGAATTAGTGCTTTGTTTCTTTCTTAACTAAATACTATTTATCTAGCTTCCAACCAATCCGAGCCAAGAAATCAGAAACAACGGAATTCAACTTAAGATGAACAGCATTGGAGTAGCTCAAGATATGCCGGTCAGTAGAACTACAGAGCGTCCCATATCATATTGGATAATCTACACTGCACTACACTACACTACACTACACTACACTACACTACACTACACTACACTACACTACACTACACTACACTACACTACACTACACCACACTACACTACACTACACTACACCACACTACACCACACTACACTACACCACACAACGCAAATTTTAGTTTTTAGTTTTTTGTTTTTGGTCTATCATACTCCTCGGTATATCTATCTATATATCTATCTATTTAACTAACTATCTATCTATTTAACTAACTATCTATCTATTTAACTAACTATCTATACTGCAGGGTAGGGTAGGTGAGATGTATACCCTACTACTGGGTATATCTATCTATCCATCTATCTAACTTTCTATACTGCAGGGTAGGGTAGGTGAGATGTATGCCCTACTACTGGGTATATCTGAGGAACTAACCAACATAAAACAAATCATGGATAATCAAAGTAAGTACTTTACAGTGAGGAACTAAATTTAGTAAATCCGCCCAAACACCAGGTTTAAGCCTTTAAGGGGGATTTTTATAAATATCAGGTTTCAGGGTGATTTTTATAAATATCAGGTTTCAGGTGGATCTTTATAACCATCAGGTTTGTGGGGGGATCTTTCTAACCATCAGGTTTCAGGGGGATCTTCATAACTTTCAGGTTTCAGGGGGTTATAACCATCAGGTTTACGGGGGGATCTTTATAAACGTTATGTTTCAGGGAGGATCTTTATAAACGTCAGGTTTCAGGGGGGATCTTTATAAACGTCAGGTTTCAGTTGGATGTGTGTAACCATCATGTTTCAGGTGGATCTTAATAACCATTAGGTTTATGGGAGGATCTTTATAAACGTCAGGTTTCAGGGGGATCTTTATAACCATCAGGTTTCAGGTGGATCTTGATAACCATCAGGTTTATGGGGGGATATTTATAAACGTTAGGTTTCAGGGGGATCTTTATAACCATCAGGTTTCAGGTGGATCTTAATAACCATCAGGTTTATGGGGGGATATTTATAAACGTTAGGTTTCAGGTGGATCTTGATAACCATCAGGTTTCAGGTGGATCTTGATAACCATCAGGTTTATGGGGGGATATTTATAAACGTTAGGTTTCAGGGGGATCTTGATAACCATCAGGTTTCAGGTGGATCTTGATAACCATCAGGTTTATGGGGGGATATTTATAAACGTTAGGTTTCAGGTGGATCTTTATAAACACCAGGTTTCAGCATTTAGGGAGAATCCTTAGTAACACAAGTTAAGGATTCCCAGTAACACCTGCAGGAAAAGAGGAAATGTTGGTTAATGAATTAAAACTAATTTATTTAAACTGGGTTGGGCTCCATAGTAAACTCATAAAATTCCCTTTTAAAAATATTAATTTCCTCGTGCTCAAATATAGACTTTATTTTGAACCTTTTTATTTTAATTTTGTAAATTTGATAATACTAACACTAGATAACTTAACTAGAGAACATAAGTCGTTAATTTTACTTTTTACAAACACATTATGTTGCTTGATGTGAATGTTGGGAATAACTGTGAGATATTCCCATAGAGAATAGAATATATAGAGAGGAATTTACTGGAAAAAAGTGTAAAACGGCCATTTTGTTGTACTGTTTCCATACTGCAGAGCCCAAAACTTTAGACAGGGTATCGTTATGAAAACCAGTTTTGAAACCCGGGTTTCAAGAATGGGGTTAGGCAGTTTTGTGGATATCAATATTTTTGTTGTGAAATATCATTTTATTAAGTTTCTTCATATTCTTCATTTTTTAAAATTTCTTAAATCAAAATCTACACAATTGCCAAGACCCCAAAAAGGAAACTCGGGAGTTTCGTTCAACGATACTCTTTTAAATTTCGGGCTCAGGTGTACTTCACATATCTATGCTATATAACCTGTTGGGCCCTGGAATATCATTTTATAGAAAATCTTAAATCATTGTTAAAAGAAAACCAAATTATGAAATAGGCTGGTTTCATAATTGACCGATGATCATTTCACATAGACTCTATGCCTTCCACTTTACAAACGATGATTTTCCGTTATAACTATAAATCAAATGATGTTTTTATTCATCTAATTCATTATAAAGTTTATTTAACAGTTTAAAAAATTCGAAATTGAAATGGATAGTCTAGGGAACATACTGTATTAATGTACTCTACTGTATATAATTTGTGAAAATTTACATGATTTGTACACTTTTAACTCCCTTTCAGGCTGAAAGGGACTGAAAAAATTCATACTGAGAGATTCTTTTAATTCCTCTCTATATATTCTATTCTCTATGGATATTCCAACAAAATTATAATTACTTGTAAACTCATCTACCCTGTACATAAACCTTCATATTCCAATACGTCCAACACAATACTCAAAACCAGAATAAACTGGAATAAAGGTCGTCTTTGAATTAGAAATTTACTTTGGGATTTTGTGAATTGAAATAGTTTTTAGAGATATATCATGCAGTCGTATCTATGAAAAATAACAAAATATGTCGCCAAACATGGACGATCTTTGTTCCACTTTATTCTGGTTATTACTGCATAAAGATATGTAAATATTACTGATAAACCGAAGAAATTGCCAACAAACCAACATACAGGGTGTCCCAATAAACATGGGAATTCAGTGACGAATTCGATATCGTCTTTTCAAATAATTCTTTGATTTAGTATAGTGATACCTACTGAGAAAACTGTAATCCGTAAGATTTTCGTCTGCTGTTTACAATTTGTTTGTTTATGTTTTAACTGCATACGGTTGTACTTAGTAAAACAAGAAAATTACAGTTTACACATACAGTGAACTTATCCGTCTTCTCTGTTAATATTTCAAAGACATTATACAGACATCTTACAGTCTTTTTCATAAAATAAACTCTAGCAGACATAATAATATTATACCTTTTGAAATCAGGTATTACAATGCTAATTCATAACAAAGACGTCACTGAATTCCCATGTTTGTTGGGACACTATGTACTTGTGAACCATACATAATCTCAAGCCTGGATCGACTCAATCTGCGAAAAACAAAATTTTATTTAAACCTTATTTTAAACCTTCCACAAAAATATTTAGTAAAATAAATCTTATTCAAGCTATTTCCCTTCCTCTTTTTAAACGATTATTTCATTTCAGCATAGTGTCTCTCTGTCTCAAGCTCTCTAGCAAAAATCAATGAGAATTTTGCCAATTACTTCTGAAAACTATCTGCTACCAACAAGTGCTTTATAGTGCTAAAATGTCACGTGGATTTAACGGTTCTGTCAATATTTCATATTTCATATTTCGATCACAATTTGACCCCTTTTACATAATTTTATAGCCTTTAATGTAAAATACTTTTTTTTGTTGGCATAAACATTTTGAAAAAGTATAAAATAAACAAATCTGTAAGTCTTTAAAGATTGTTGATTTATAGACGAAAACATGTTTGATTTCAAATAAAAGAAACCGAATTCTTCTCTTAGGTGTTAGTTCAGGGTGATGTATACATGTAAAGGGCTACAGAAAGGCATAAATGAGTTAATTAGAGCGGTCAAATCAAAGTCCAAGGCGTTGCGACACTTCAAAGTCGACCCTATTTAAAAAAAATTTACAAGCAGGCCTAATCTTTGTGAATTAATTCCGCGGTATGCATAGCAGCCTATGTGTTCACTATATTTTTTACCCTCAAAAAATCATTTCTTTTTGAGACAAATGTTAGTTTTTAGATAAATGTGACATTAAGGAAATTATTAAATTCCATCTAAAACAGAGCTGAGTAGCAACACATGCATGATTACGAGTAGACATATATCTGTAGAACAGAAAACATTCTCCATCTGATAAATGTGGAGTATGATGTCAGCCGGAAGATAAATGAAACAATCTGTAGGAGTGGTCTAATTAACTACAGTCAATATATATCAATTTTACACACAGGACTGTTTCTTCCATCTCTTGGTATATTTAACTTGTCTGTAGGTTATGTTGGTTTGTATCCGATATACGTATACGTTAAAACGTCTGAACCAATCGATGCCAATTTTGTTCTTTGACCTATAAGCATCACAAAGACGAAACTTCAGAGACGACTATACAAAATTATTTTATATATCGTTTTCTGCAGTTTATAGTCTTTAAATTTCTTTGCCAACTCATCTAACACTTCCTTTAACTATGTTCAAGACAAAACATAATTCGACCTTTAAATAGTTGGTGTAAAAGAGTTTAACGTCGTTATTAAAGTCTCATCTGTTATGGGTAACCCTAGCTATGTATGAACGGCTAATACAGTGGGAAAGTCATCCTCCTAAAAACCCGATTAGTAAAATATAACGCACCAAATACTTGATAAGTTTGTACACTGCGTTCACTTGCATACGAGGTTTTCGAGGATTTTTGATAGAGAAGACAACATTTTCATATTTTCCTGGAATATTCTAAGATCCAGCGCCTGCCGTGAAAACAAGTATTGAGAGAAATATTAATTTTAAAAACAAATAAAATATTTAATTATTATGAAATATCAACTATGTACGAATGCATAGAATTAAATTCGACTATTGTAGAATAAAATATATGAATGAGTCGTTTTTAATTTAATTTTCATTATTTACGGTTTGAGTGGAATAATGCCACTCCGTAAAGTAACTGAGTTTTAGTCACAAATTCTGATTTTCAAATCGCTATATCTTTGCAACCTGATGGTGTGATATTTCAAACTATCATAAGTTGGTCTAAAATAATTCATAGTTTGAAATATATACAGGGTGTCCCACGAAACATGACAGTATGCAGGACGACTTGAATGTCGTCTTGATTTTTGATATAATTTGCTGCGTTTATTTGTCAACCTAATTTTAGAAGTAAATTTCTAGAGATAATCACAAAATTTCCCTTGTCCTGCCATTTCCAAAATGTGGTCTGCCTTTTTTGTGCTTTCAATATTGCCCGAGATATGAAGAATTTCGTTCAGATTTCGACAATTTTGCTTTTATTTAACAAAATTGAAATCTGAACCAAACTCTTTATATCTCAGGTAATATTGAAAGCACAAAAAACGCAGACCACTTTTTGGAAATGCCAGGGCTAGGAGAATTATGTGATAATTGTTTCAAGAATCATACATGTTAAAGTAGATAGAAGACTAAATGTCACAAATAAATTCAAATACCAAAGACGACTTTCAAGTCGTCTTCCTATTGTCATGTTTCGTGGGACACCCTGTATCTAAGGTATCCGACATTGAAATGTATAGATATAGGGATAAGAAAATCAGAGTTTGTGACAAAAACTCAATTCTTTTGTATGGGTTCTATTCTACACTCATAGGTATGAGTCGTTTATAACCATTTTCTCCTTATAGACACAACAGATGGAAGTCAAATTAGTAACGATCAATATCGAATTAATTTCGACGTCAACCTATACCCCCTTTCATTTTTAGCGAACATTCCCTTTAAGCCTAAAATAATCCAGGTACAGGACACATTTAATTCTCTAGAAGGAGATGGTTAATTAGGTGTACCGTCCCATTTGGACCGTCTAGATCGTTTCTTTGTGCAAACTGCAAAAAGTTAGTCCGGTTTCCGTGATGAACCAATGAAAATGTAAAAAGGAGGGTGCAAAGCATTCATCTCCTAACTTCTTTAACTTTAAATATTTTCTGGCGGGTTCAGATAAATGATTCAAGAATCTGAGGTTCATGGCTTTCTTAAACAAGAAAGAAAGATTAACGATACAGTTTGGGAAGGTAGAAAAAATATATTGATGCGGTCAAAAGTAATTTTTTTGATGAATAAAATTATGTAAAAGTTAAGATAACCTAATATTTCTGCTATATTCTTTTTGTTTGAGTAATACCACTAATATACAATATGAGAAAGATCCAAGTATTGTTTATAAATATCTCTATTTATTTTTATATCTTCCAATACTAGGTATGTAAACCTCTAAACACGTCATAATATATTCAAAAATATTAATAATGTTTATTCACGGTCATGGTTGCCAGCTAAGAAAAGATCTACTTTATAACCTATACTGTATAGTAAAGGTTATTGACAAAGTAATAAAAGTAAAAGTACAAGAGCCGGGAACCTACTCAACAAAAGATGAGATCCGAAAAAAGTTTGGTTTTACTTCCCAAGTTCGTTGTTTGTTGTTGCTGTACGCTACATTCCTTCTGTTGTTTTAGCATTTACTTGATTTTCGTCTTGGTTCTCTCTTTTAACTAACAATGCCGTTATGGATTTTTAATAATGTGTACCAAACTTTGATTTTCCAATCCCGATATCTTTGCAACCCGATGTCACAGATCTTAGATATTTCGAACAACGAATCCTTTTATATCAATTAATCTAGGTTTAAATTATCCAAGGGTTACACCATCAGGTGGCAGAGAAATAGGATTGTAAAAATTTGAGTTTCTTCAAAAATGTGTTTATTAGGGTGGATCGATTTTTTCCCCTTTTCTCCTTTAGCGTCTAGGGTGTGTGCGGGATATATACGCCTACAAATTCTAAAAACTTCAAAAAAATATCAAAAATGTCCAAAACGTCATGAGTAAGACCAAAAAAAAAATCTTCAAAATGTACCAATAAGGGTATCAAGAGAACCGTCTAATCTTTTGATATATATCTATATATCTATTTATATATCTATCGATATATTCTGAAGAATGTTTTTTTTCCCACAAGTGATTTTTGTTCTATTATTTCCTTAAAATGGGTCTCAGCTCGCCATTAAAAACAATTTAATTATTTTTTTAACGAATTTCTTAGAATAGTTACAATTTTAAATTTATCCCCAAAAATTTGCCCATGAGTCATGTGATATGAAAATTATAAAAATCCAAAGCGACATGCTCGCCTTAAAATATAGGAACGAAAACGACAATTGCTACACTGTCTTCTGGTTACACCTGCACAGTAAAACAATAAAAACATTTTCTTGATTAAACGATCAAACGATTTTTGTTATTTTAATTTTTTTTTTTTAAATTTGGAGTTTGTCTGTTTATAAAAGAATTTGTATTAAAGATTGCTATAACGGTACGGGGGATGATACTGTGGATGATGGGAGAGATGATATTGTGGATGTTGGGAGGGATGATACTGTGGATGATGGGAGAGATGATACTGTGGATGGGAAACCCTGCTTCCAGTATGAAGAATATAAGAGTACAGACTCCGCCTTCGAAATTAATCAGGTATTGAAGAAGTGGATTTTCATATTTAAAAATCAATTTTAGCAGAGAAATCTCCATTAAGAAATCAATTTTAGCAGAGAAATCTCCATTTAAAAATCAATTTTAGCAGAGAAATCTCCATTTAAAAATCAATTTTAGCAGAGAAATCTTCATTTAAAAATCAATTTTAGCAGAGAAATCTCCATTTAAAAATCAATTTTAGCAGAGAAATCTGCATTTAAAAATCAATTTTAGCAGAGAAATCTCCATTTAAAAATCAATTTTAGCAGAGAAATCTCCACTTAAAAATCAATTTTAGCAGAGAAATCTGCATTTAAAAATCAATTTTAGCAGAGAAATCTCCATTTAAAAATCAATTTTAGCAGAGAAATCTCCATTTAAAAATCAATTTTAGCAGAGAAATCTCCATTTAAAAATCAATTTTAGCAGAGAAATCTCCATTTAAAAATCAATTTAAGCAGAGATATCTCCATTTAAAAATCAACTTTAGACAGTTATAAAAACAATGAGGGATTGAATTTATCTGAAAACTGTTCTTAACAAATATATATTTTGTATTCTTCTTCTGTGTTCTTCTTAACTCTACAATTTACAAAAGACTAAAGTATAACACATAATATTTTTAAATAGCATTCATTTTACAGTGTCAAATAATCTTTCTTGTAAACTGAAACATCACTATGGATTATATAAGATATAAACTGTTAACAGAAACATTTATCTATTTTAAATAATCTTTCTTGTTAACTGAAACCTCACTATGGATTATGAAGATATAAACTGTTAACAGAAACATTTATCTATGTCAAATAATCTTTCTTGTAAACTGAAACCTCACTATGGATTATGGAAGATATAAACTGTTAACAGAAACATTTATCTATGTCAAATAATCTTTCTTGTAAACAGAAACATCACTATGGATTATGGAAGATATAAACTGTTAACAGAAACATTTACCTATTTTAAATAATCTTTCTTGTAAACTGAAACCTCACTATGGATTATGGAAGATGTAAACTGTTCACAGAAACATTTATCTATTTTAAATAATCTTTCTTGTAAACTGAAACCTCACTATGGATTATGGAAGATATAAACTGTTAACAGAAACATTTATCTATTTTGTTAACTAGAATATCCATGTGGTGTGTATTATACATAATGCTAATACAGCACATTTATCTATCTAGTTAACCATCTATTCCTTAGTATTATTATTTTCGGGGGAGATTTGTAATTGGAATAAATCTGATCTCTATATACGGGGAGTTTTCATCTAGATCCATCAAACATTTGACTGATGCACATATTCAGGACTCCCAATCTGTCAACCAACAACATGATCAGTTAGACGGGGAACCCTGTACTAGTCCAGGTCAACATTCTTTTGGAAATTTACTGTTTTGTTTAGTTAGTTTTGATGTTTATTAGATAACTGATATCATAATTATTATTGTATTGTTAATTGATGTTAATCTTGACATACATTTTATAACATTACTTTTCAGTTTACTACATACACAAACATTACACAGTCTTCAAAATACACTTAACCCGTTGATATCCTATACATGCATAACTTTATACTATAAGTAATATTAATTCATGTTCCCCATTCTACAATTAAAACAAACACACACTAACAAATTATTGCACTACAAGGTGAATGACAGAATGGTATAACAGCTTGTCATGGTTTGGACATAAGAATTACCAAATTCCTTGAATAAAATTCTAGGGGGGGGGGTTTGCAATAGTAACCTATGTTTGTCTGTCTGTTTGTTCAGATGTCCGATCTGAACTTGAACTCCTTGAGCAATTTACCTAATATTTTATTAAAATAATCGTGATCGTAACTTGGTTAAAAACTCAAAGTTGAGTTGGTAGACTTTTTCAGGGAAAATTTAGTTTACAGGCAGAGCTGGGTTTCCAAGCTAGTATTACATGAAGCTACAAAGTATGTACGTATGTTACAAAATACTTTAACGAGTAATAGTTAGTAAAGGGTGGCTTGACATTGTAAGAGAGAGGTTTTTAATCATCTGTTCTGAATATTCGAGTAAGAATTAGTTAAGACGTCTGAAGAGGTTGTAACTTTAAAAAATATTTCTCAGCACAAGGAAATAATACTTAAAACACCAAACTTGATAATCAAATATAAATTTCAATCTTCTTTTTTCAATAGTTTGCACTGATGTTTAGTTGAAGTTAATAAACTTTTTATTATCTCTAAATACAATGTTGACTCAAAAGTTTATCATTTTATTTGGCAATATATTTTCTTTTATAAACTTTATGATTTTCATTAGGCCTTCTTTGGTGACTGTTCTTTGAAACATTATTTTTAGCCCGACAAAGCCAGGACATTCTTAGATCAAGTCAGTTTTTTCGTAACTATGGAATAATGGAGAGAAACAGCTTAGATTTAATCTTTATTTGTATTAGATCATATCATGAACATTGACTTCACGTTTTATAAAACACCCTGCATCAAGCAGTTTCTTTAACTTTATTTCTCACCCTGCATCTGCAAGTTTATATAAATATTTCCAACCTGCATCTCCGAGTTTATAGAGATATTCCCACGTTTCATCTGCAAATTTATTAAAAATATTCCCACCCTGCATCTGCGAGTTTATGAAAAATATTCCCACCCTGCATCTGCAAGTTTATATAAATATTCTCACCTTGCATCTGCAAGTTTATATGAAATATTCCCACCTTGCATCTGCAAGTTTATATAAATGTTCTTACCCTGCATCTGCAAGTTTATGAAAAATATTCCCACCTTGCATCTGCAAGTTTATATGAAATATTCCCACCTTGCATCTGCAAGTTTATATAAATATTCCCTCCCTGCATCTGCAAGTTTATATGAAATATTCCCACCCTGCATCTGCAAGTTTATGCAAAATATTCTCACCTTGCATCTGCAAGTTTATAATATTCTCACCTTGCATCTGCAAGTTTATATGAAATATTCCCACCTTGCATCTGCAAGTTTATATAAATGTTCTCACCCTGCATCTGCAAGTTTATGAAAAATATTCCCTCTCTGCATCTGCAAGTTTATATAAATATTCTCACCCTGCATCTGTAAGTTTATGCAAAATATTCTCAACCTGCATCAGCGAGTTTATATAAATATTCTCACCCTGCATCTGAAAGTTTATGCAAAATATTCTCACCCTGCATCTGCAAGTTTATATGAAATATTCCCACCCTGCATCTGCAAGTTTAAATGAAATATTCCCACCTTGCATCTGCAAGTTTATATGAAATATTCCCACCCTGCATCTGCAAGTTTAAATGAAATATTCCCTCCTTGCTTCTGCAAGTTAAATGAAATATTCCCACCTTGCATCTGCAAGTTTATATAAAATATTCCCACCTTGCATCTGCAAGTTTATGAAAAATATTCTCACCCTGCATCTGCAAGTTTATATAAAATATTCACTCCCTGCATCTGCAAGTTTATATAAATATTCTCACCCTGCATCTGCAAGTTTATATTAAATATTTCCTCCCTGCATCTGCAAGTTTAAATGAAATATTCCCACCTTGCATCTGCGAGTTTATATGAAATATTCCCACCTTGCATCTGCGAGTTTATGAAAAATATTCCCACCCTGCATCTGCGACATTATGAAAAATATTCCCACCTTGCATCTGCAAGTTTAAATGAAATATTCCCACCCTGCATCTGCAAGTTTATATGAAATATTCTAACCCTGCATCTGCAAGTTTAAATGAAATATTCCCACCCTGCATCTGCAAGTTTAAATGAAATATTCCCACCCTGCATCTGCAAGTTTAAATGAAATATTCCCACCTTGCATCTGCAAGTTTATATGAAATATTGCCACCTTGCATCTGCAAGTTTATATAAATATTCCCACCCTGCATCTGCAAGTTTATATAAATATTCCCACCTTGAATCTGCTAGTTTATATAAAATATTCTCACCCTGCATCTGCAAGTTTATATGAAACATTCCCACCTTGCATCTGCAAGTTTAAATGAAATATTCTCACCTTGCATCTGCTATTTTATATGAAATATTCTCACCCTGCATCTGCGAGTTTATTTTCATATTTCTGATTCTATCAAATATTAAACTGAATTCAACTATTCTTCTTCCTTTAAATGTCAAGCTGTTCACTGTGCTCCGGTGAAGACATTCAACCCAAAAATTCCAAAGTATCAATGTTATGGATCTAATGTAAGAATTTCTTCTTCAAGATATATTTCGGATTTCTCTGAAATAAATAGGAGTTAATAACAAAGATTAAAAAGTTCGGTTCATGTTCAGCAAACTGTGGTTTCCGATCACAAATTGACCTATATCTAATAGAATTTTTTTGCTTTTGACTGCGGGTGCGTTTTAAATAAAAAGTATAAAAGTATTTATAGAAAGCTTTTTAAGTTTAAAGATTGTTAAATTTAAGACCAAAACGCTACAAAATTCAAATTAAGGAAACTGAACGCTTCTAGCCCTGGTTAGTCCAGGGTGAAATACCCTTTATTACATCTCTAAAATGGTGAATAGTTGGAGGAGTAAATGTATCTAAAATGGTGAATAGTTGGAGGAGTAAATGTATCTAAAATGGTGAATAGTTGAAGGAATAAATGTATCTAAAATGGTGAATAGTTGAAGGAGTAAAATTATCAGGAGTAAATGTATCTAAAATGGTGAATAGTTGAAGGAATAAATGTATCTAAAATGGTGAATAGTTGAAGGAGTAAAATTATCTAAAATGGTGAATTTAATAGTTGGAGGAGTAAATGTATCTAAAATGGTGAATAGTTGGAGGAGTAAATGTATCTAAAATGGTGAATAGTTTGAGGAGTAAATGTATCTTAAATGGTGAAAAGTTGGAGGAGTAAATGTATCTAAAATAGTGAATAGTTGAAGGAGTAAATTTATCTAAAATGGTGAATAGTTGAAGGAGTAAATGTATCTAAAATGGTGAATAGTTGGAGGAGTAAATGTATCTAAAATGGTGAATAGTTGAAGGAGTAAATGTATCTAAAATGGTAAATAGTTGGAGGAGTAAATGTATCTAAAATGGTGAATAGTTGGAGGAGTAAATGTATCTAAAATGGTGAATAGTTGGAGGAGTAAATGTATCTAAATTGGTGAATGTAGGTGAGAACTGGGCTGATTTTATCCCAATGTGTCGGGACCGAGAGAGCTTCTCGTCTATAGGTATAAAATAAACCTATTGCAGTTTTCAGTTAAAAACTAGAATATATATCTATCAAAATCCTAAACAGTTTGATATTTAGTTATTGTACATGAACATAGGGTTTAGTGCCTTTTTAGTATAAAGTTGTACATAAATTAACACACTTTTGCATGCAACCTTTGTGTGTGTATATATATATATATATATATATATATAGATAATATATATATAAATAGATGTATGTTATAAATTAAAATTATATGAATTACTTTCCCCGAAGTCTAAATTGATAATACCTCTATCTAAACTATCTGACTGTTTCATATTTTGGTTAAAACTCGATCAAACAGAATTTATAGTTTTACAAATCTGAGGTAGAAGACATCAGGAGCCAATTTTAATTTATAGAAAGTTGAACTACATAGACTTTTTTACCACTTCTGTTGAACTTGATTAATGGGTTAAACACATCATGTATGCAGGATTTCACTCATTTTTTAGGTTGAACAGTGCATGTAGCAACTTTATGCATTTTGGTCTGACATTTATTTTTATCAAAAGCATCTTGCTTCCTTGTAAAAATACTTTGCATGTATTTTCTTTTAACATTTTCTTTTACGCCTAATTTCAAGTAACCTTTCATGTAAATAAGCTCAAGGCAGATTCACAACAGTATTTTTTAAACCTTTGACTGATTAAAAAAAATCAGAGACCTCTGTATTTACCTATAAAAATTTGATTGGAAACCGTTTTATCCGCGAAAACAAATTTTTATTGTAAAATTTATTATTTGCAATTTTTTTCGTGTGTTAAACCTACTGATTATCATCGTTTTAAACTTTTAAGGGGCTCCATAAAATCTGAATTGTGAATCGTATTTCAAAATTGCATACTGGACAAGTTTTATTTTTTTTAATTGTGCAAAAGTTTTACTCTCAAAATACGTTGTTTTACGTTTTGAAAATCGTTTTGGATAATATCTTTGATCAGAGGGGAAAAATCGAATAATGTAATAAATGCAAACTTATCGAGAATACAATTTTTAATGTAAGTAATAACTCATATATTTGTGAAGCACTTTTAACATCAAAACATGAAATGTGTCAAACAATTCCCTTCAGTAGTTAAACCTATTTCGACATATATAAAAGCTTTTATATTATGTTAGTTGTAATGCAGAATTGCATAATCTATATGTATAAAGTTTTAATCTCTGTTTGTCTATCTGTCTGTCTATTTGTTAGTCCGTTCTATAACTCAGGAACCCCCGAACCGATTTGCCTAAATTTTGATTTGTGAATTGGGAGACCAACGGGAATGTTCTTAGCTTGGTTTAAAGATTCTAAGTTAAGTGGGTCGACTATAATACCAATAATTTAGTTTCCCGCGGTAAAATCGTTCAAGTGCGGGTAAACGGCGGAAGAAACGTTTTTGTAACCTAAGCAGCGCTGGGTTCCCAATATAATAAATAAATTGAAAAAAGAAAATTATTTTTACATTTAGTTTTTAGCATTTTCACTCGATTTTAGATAAATACGTTGTTTTCCATTATCCTATATCTGTCAAAGGTTTAAAGGGTACCACTGCGAATTTGCCGTGGCCTTCTTTGCATGTAATAGGTCACATGAAATTACGCTTAGAGTCCCTTTAAATTTGAAAAAAAATTTAAAGTTAATGTTTTGTGAAGATGTATATTGTATAGATCAAGGAATGTTCGCTTAACCCACTAAACCAACTATAAAGATTACCCGGGCTATGATGCAAAATATCAAAGATCGAATAAATTACCATTATGTGGATTCCATCATAGAAAGGATATTATCCTAACCCTCCCTCATTCTCAATAAATAACCTCAGGGCACTGTTAGTCCTCAACAAGAAATTGGAATTTTTCATCGGTTTATGTAAAATGGGTAAAAAGTACAAGACCACATACTTGGAAATGTCTGGAGCTCTCTCTCTCATTTTACCTACGTAGTAAATCTACGTTGGTAGGCAATTATATCAATATAATGAAAACAACTTATTAAAGTTTGATTGTTAACAAGCTTTTTTCAAATTTCAAGTAACTAAGGAAAAGCTTTTTTAATTAACGCTTCTCTTTGTTTCCATGTTTTTGTGTATCCATGTTGTTTAAAAGCTTGATATAAATCATAATTGAAATCGAAAGTCGTCTTCATTATATTGATAAAATCACCTACCACCGTATGAAAGCAAACTAAAATTAAATAGATGGTTTAATATAAAAGGAAGAAAATAAGTTAAAAATTTTCAATGTTAATAATAAACATAGTTAATAGTTATAGATAGAAAAAAAAAGATTTAGATTAGATCAAATTAATGAGTATAGTAATATTTGATTTTTAAATTAATATTTTTAAAAGATTTAAGAGATATTGATAGACAGAAATATTTGTTTTTATTTCAACTTTGGTTGATTTTTTAATTTTCACCTTTCATACATTTGATACTTCAAAAAAAGGGAATAACTTAATATGTGCTCTTTATATAAAAGTTTCTAAAAATAGATGTAGATAGTAGATACATATATATTTTGAAATGTGAGAAACTTTATGCAAACAGTTCTGATAAATCAACTTTTAGGTATTAACAACATGTCAGGGTTACGTTGCTGCAGGCACAGTTTAGATGTTTCAAATCCTCATAGTATGGCAGGTAGAGAATACTTTAAAGGGATTGTACACTCAACTTCATAACAGGCCATGTCTGATTCACAACGGTACCCTTTAAACCTTTGTCTTAGCTACAACAATTAAGTTTCTCTCTTTTTCTACCTTAAAATAGATTTTTTCCAATTGCGGTTCTCTTTACAAGTACCATAGGGAGAGATATGTTTCACTCATGTTATTAAGATACAAGTAAAAAGTGTACCTTTGTGAAACTATTTAATTGAGAGATCATGTAATCTAACCCTTCATTCTTATAGTAGGAGCCATTAAACTGTTAAAAAGGAAGACGACATTTCAGCAATCTTATGTGATTTCGATGTTTTTTTAAACAAATAGTTTTACCAAAAGCTTAAAAATCTACTTATCATATGGGTCTGTGTACACTACACGATTATTGTATGTTATGTTCATTGAACTGTTTAAAATCATATCTTTAGTCATTTTCCTATTCCACCGTTTTATGGGTCAGAATGGAATCCTTAAGCCCTACAATTTAATGATATCCTTCAATCATACAATATAATGGAATCCTTTCATCCTACAATATAAGGGAATCCTTTAATCCTACAATATAAAGGTATCCTTTAATCCTACAATATAATGGAATTCTGTAATCCTACAATATAAGGGAATCCTTTAATCCCACAATATAATGGAATTCTTTAATCCTACAATATAAGGGAATCCTTTAATCCTACAATATAATGGAATTCTTTAATCCTACAATATAATGGAATTTTTCAGTCCTACATTATAATGGAATTCTTTAATCCTACAATATAAGGGAATTCTTCAGTCCTACAATATAATGGTATCATTTTATCTTGCTTCATCATGGATTTATTATTTCATTGATTTCATACATTTGATGGATATATTCTTTCATGGATTTTATATAATATGGATACATTCTATTAAACATAGTGACATGATTTAACTAAACATGATCATATTAACAAAAAGAATAATCAAATTTAATTTTTTACAGCTGCTCTACTTTCTAAGGTAAAAATTGCATTACTATTTTATTTTTATTTTTTCTTCAATAATTTCAAAACATATTATTCGGGTTTTTTGTATCAATATAGTTTGTTGGAAAATCATTATTTTGAATAATATTTTTATCAAAAAACAAAGTAAAGAACAATCATATTTATTCGGTGGTAGGCGATTATATCAATATAATAATAACGAATTTATAATTGTCAATAAGCTTTTTTCGAATAACTAGTTTGCAAGGAGATATACAGAAAGTTTTTATATTGACAGCTTTTCTTTTTTTCCATTTGTTTATATCCATGCTATATAAAAGCTTGATATAAATAAAAATTTAAAATCGAAAGTTGTCTTCATTTTATTGATATAATCGCCTACCACTGCGACGTAAGATTCCAAATTTGTTGATGAAGGGTTTTATTATACCGACTTTCTAATATGATTCCAAATATTCATTCTAATTCTGCCAAACATTGTCACAAAGCATAATTTTACTTCTTACTAGGTATGGCCTTCCTGGACGAACTAGAGATTAATGATTTTTTTGTAACGACCCCGTCACCCCCCCCCCCTTCCGAGAAATCCAGACATTTTTAAAAACTAAGGTCTTAACTTTTGAGTTCCCCAAGCTTACAATCTTACCACACAAAATTTAGATTATGCTATCAGGGTTACACACAAAGGATAAGACTGTTAAAACGACCAGAGCTGAGAACTTTAGAATGGATAACCTTTAATCCCGACTGCTTAATCCACCGTGGAAACTTTAAATTTTAGTCCTTAATCCATTACTTTTCTCTCTCTTTGGATATCCATACATTGTTTTCTCCAATGAGAGTAAAGGAATATAGCTCTTAAATTGTATTGACCAATGGCAGCCTTGAAAATAAGTTCTATCCAATGAGAGACCTCCGCAATTTCTAACAAATAATTGTCGGCCATTTTGTAAATTATTCGGTGAAGAAAAATATGCTATGATACGTTTGAGATTTTTTTAAAACTATTTTTATCTAATTAATAAATAAATGTGTGAGAAATTAAGTGAGGGCCCTTCCCGTGAAGAAAACGGACAAAGTGTTCCTAGAATCAAATTTGTTAATCTAAATAATTAATCTCGAGACTAACATAATCTCGAGATTATGTTAGTCTCGAGATTAGCAAAAAGAGAGGATTAAGCATTAATCCTGATATCCACCATTTTAAAGTTCCCAGCTCTGAAACACTAAAAAAAAAGACGATTTCAAGATTAACTTAAGTTTCCTGGCTTGAATATGGTCTTCAAATGCCTTATTTATTGATTGATTTATTGATTTGGCAAAGAAAGAAACAAGTTTACACTTGTATCATGAATATAAGGAAACAGACATTAATTCCGTACAGTCGTCTCTGAAGTATCATCCTTTGTGGGTAACACTGTATTTTCATTATCGTAATGCTGTTTTTATGTATCATGCAAATTTTGAGTCCGTTGCGCTTATTTTTGCGTTCCCAATATTAAAATATCTTTAACTGAGTTGGGTTATTTTTTAACCCCCACCCCCCCTCCTTGACTTTCTTTTCCAAGGAATTGATAGTTAGGTATTTTTGCATATTTAGTGATGCCCCATTTAGGATAGGATTTTATAATCCAATTTAGACCTTATTACAAGAAATAGAAACTTCATGGCCAACCTTTATCTAGTCTAATAAAATACTCTCCATAAATCCAAGTATTATATTCTCATAAGATTGGTAAAAAGGAAGTAATATAGGAAATAAGAAGGTATATTAAAGTATTGCAGATACGGTTCTATTATCCTATACAAATATACTCATATAGTCTTAGTACATTAATTAGCTTAAGTAGGTTTATTTTCTTTCTCAATGAAATTTTCATATTTATGTACAATGTACATACTGTGCACTGTTCAGGCAATGTACATGTTTTTTCTTGCGGGTTGAAGCTATAGCCACTCAGGTTGATTAGGATGTGTTTCATATCCTCGTAACCAGGAATTATTTTCTAAGATAAATTACCAAATGAGTTTCTTTACCTAGAGAGAGAGAGAGTGAAAGAACTTTTCACTTATCTTGTTGTTATCTGTTTTTTTAGGGGGGAATTTCTAAAATGTTTATTTTAATTTATAAAATATGATTAATGATTATTTGATTAATACACTGATCAGTTTAAAATAGTTTTGCAAGCAAAACGTAACCTTGAATCAAAACAAATGAGACGTAAATAAAAGATAAAATACCAAATCGAATCATCGTTCGAACATTAATATGTTTATCGAAACATTCTGTTTTGAAATGAATAGTATAGTAAACACTACAAAAACCCCGTATTCATTAAACTGCACATTATGTGACATGAATTTCGAGTATAAAATAGTATATACAAGGGAACAAAATAATTTTAGTTCTCGGTTGGGGGGGGGGGGATGCACAAATGTTAAAAAGTAAAAAAACAGATTTGAAATTTTTAATATTTTAATGAAAAATAAAAAATAGTTAAGCTAAAACATTAGAATCGGACCAGCAAATCTACTAAAATTACATTTTCTAAATTTTTTTTTTATGATAGACATCATGCTTTTTCGACTTCTATGGTATACTTTTAGAACTGAAACTAAAAATTAAAAAAGATTTTTAAAAATGGTTTACCTAGTTTTGTTTTAATCCTGCACTTTTAAGTATTTATCTATTAATCTAAAATTCATTTACCAGGAATTCCATTTGTGAAGTAGAAATACATAATTAAAAAGCAATCATTATAAAAATGATTAGTATTACATTACAACCACAATGAGATATGTACTCTATTGAATAATAGCTTTAGTTGAAATGAATCCAGAATGATGCGTAACAATAAAAGAAGATTAAGAGAACATCTATCAGATTTGAGATATATATGGATATATACAGAAACATAAATATAGACCACTAATGATCTCCGAAACATATAAAAATAAAAGTTTTGTTATGCACTCCGGGAACTTGTGTCAGTAAAAAACCAAGCCCTTCATGGCAGCGCAAAATCAAATCTGCAAATTGAATAATATTTGCAGAAATGGGAAAAGAACGCTGATATCTGTGATTTCTGATATATTTCCATACACTTGGGAATAAAGTTTTATAAATCAACATTTTATTTGCACAAATTTTCCTGAAATCAAGGCATAATGGAAACAAAATTTTATTCTTCCTGGCATGTGATCTCTTTGGAATAAAAAATTGTATTTAAAACGCGTAAGATTTCAATCCAAGATAAAATCTGAAAACTAACAACAAATCTGAAAAATGAAAAATGTCGGCCATGTTTTGTTCCTCTTGTGTATTAAAGAAAAACTGTGAATTGCTTTTTAAATTGTTTATAAATTTACTATAGAAACTAATGATTTTCATACCTACTAAAATAAAGGATTAATGAGTATCTATTATCTATGTTAACAAAACTGCGTTAAGTCTTTGACAATGAAAAAATAGAAATTAAAAGTGCAGACAGCCAATCTATTTTTTTAATGTATTAATTTAACTTTTGATGTTTTATTATCTAATTTATAAAAAAATAGAAGAATGATTTTTTTAATTCTGCGTATCAGTTTCCGTGCTGAGCACAAATAAAAAGTTGTCTAGCCTCTAATTGTGTTACAAAGTGCAGACTATACTTTAATATAATTTAACTTTAAAGAGGCTGTTGGCATAATTTCAAGTGCAGCCAGTACTTACTTTAAAGGGGCTGTTGGCATAATTTCAAGTGCAGACAGTACTTTAATATAATTTAACTTTAAAACGGCTGTTGGCATAATTTCAAGTGCAGCCAGTACTTACTTTAAAGGGGCTGTTGGCATAATTTCAAGTGCAGCCAGTACTTACTTTAAAGGGGCTGTTGGCATAATTTCAAGTGCAGCCAGTACTTACTTTAAAGGGGCTGTTGGCATAATTTCAAGTGCAGCCAGTACTTACTTTAAAGGAACTGTTGGCATTATTTCAAGGAACTGTTGGTGTAATTTCAAGTGCAGAATATTGTGTATACTCGAGGATATTGTGTATACTCGAGAATATTGTGTATACTTAAGAATATTGTGTAAACTCGAGGATATTATGATTACTCGAGGATATTGTTTACACTCGAGAATATTGTGTATACTCAAGGTTATTGTATATACTTTAGAATATTGTGTATACTCGAGAATATTGTGTATACTCGAGAATATTGTGTATACTCGAGGATATTGTGTATACTGGAGGATATTGTGTATACTCAAGAATATTGTGTATACTCGAGAATATTGTGTATACTCGAGGATATTGTGTATACTCGAGGATATTGTGTATACTCGAGGATATTGTGTATACTCGAGGATATTGTGTACATTCGAGGATATTGTGTATACTCGAGAATATTGTGTTTACTCGAGGATATTGTGTATACTCGAGAATATTGTGTAGACTCGAGGATATTGTGTAGACTCGAGGATATTGTGTAGACTCGAGGATATTGTGTATACTCGAGGATATTGTTTATACACTAGGATATTGTGTATACTCGAGAATATTGTGTATAGTGTATACTCGAGGATATTGTGTATAGCTGAGAATATTGTGTATAGTGTATACTCAAGAATATTGTGTATACTCGAGGATATTGTGTATACTCGAGAATATTGTGTAGACTCGAGGATATTGTGTATACTCGAGGATATTGTGTATACACGAGGATATTGTGTATACTCGAGAATATTGTGTATAGTGAATACTCAAGAATATTGTGTATACTCGAGGATATTGTATATACTCGAGAATATTGTGTATAGTCTATACTCAAGGAAATTGTGTATACTCGAGGATATTGTGTATACTCGAGAATATTGTGTATTGTGTATACTCGAGGATATTGTGTATACTCGAGGAGAGTAAAAGAAGAAATCTTTTGATAAATCTATTTCTCACTTTGTGAAATATCCAACGAACTTTAAAGTTTTTCTTTGATCTAACATTCAGAGAAGAGTAGGCTCAGATTTACTGTTTTCGAAAACAAGAATTAGATCAACTGCATTAAGAGATATTACGTTATTTTTGAAGAAAAAAAAAATGTTGAAACCACGTTGAAATCTCTGTAAGAAAGTATCTTAGCTTTCTGAATCGGCCGTACTTTAATTATGTTATGTCTTTGCAATTGCACACATTCTCTATTGGAGGATTTACCAGAATATTGTGTAAATCTTCTCTTTAGAAGATTTAGAAAATTAAAATTCCTGAAAATGGAATGATATGATTTTTTTTAAAAAATCATCCATAGAGAATTAAAAGTTGAAAATTAAGAAAAAGCTAAGAAAGTAATTTAGTTTTTGCCAAAAACTTAAAATTTCTAATCCTTATAAACCTTTGGATATTTGAGTTGACAAAATTATTAGTTTGAAATATCAAAGCTGAACAACATCGCGTTGCAGAGATATAGGAACATCCAAATATAAAATTTGTGGCAAAAGCTCAATTCCTTTAGAAAAATAATCAGCAAATTATGTGGGAAAAAATAACTTAAATTGTATAAAAATGATAAACGTTATTTTTTTATGTAGAGATGTAGAGAAGACTCAGTTGTTTCCCCTGGTCTTCAACCCCCCTCACCCTTCCTTATCATCGCAAACAAGATCCTCAAGGGACCCGTAGTACTCAACGTCGGGGGCAAAAAGTAGGTCCATGGTTACTGTCAGGCAGTGTCAAATGTATTCAAGATTCCAACACTCCACTAAACCCCACTATTTCTTCGGTCCGTGTACAGAAAATCATTGCAGTACATACTGAATATTGAGGGTTGCCCTATTGGTACAATTACTGGAGTGGAACCCATATAACTGTGGTAAAGAAAGACGACTGTTAAACTAAAGTCATGATTTAAAATAACACAATGAATATGAAAATATTTTTTTTATAACAAAATCAAAAACATTTTAAAAAGGGTAAATGTCGTCTTCCTAGTCAACCATTTTATGGGCCTCACTGTATGAAACACTCCTTGACGAATTTAATAACTTTTTATTATTATTTAAATATTTACATTATTGAAAATAAGATGTGTTGGCAAAAATGTTCTTCAATATTGTTATAAGAATTTTAAGTTTTTAAATAGTTCAATGAACTATTTGTTTATTAATTTAATGTGTTCCACTGTATAAAACTCCCCTGTATAAAACTCTCCAGTCAGAAAGATTTACATGTTAAGAAGTGCTTTAAGATCGTTTAATAAGAAATAGTCGGTTTCTTTTTCTGGGTTGGATTCGAAGATTAATTCACAGTTTAAAAAGTTTATAATTAACATTATCATTTTATTATTATTGTTATTATTATTACCATATCCATTATTATTATTAAGCTGAATTTTTATTATTTTTTATTTTAGGATTGCAGGAGCTATGTGATGCTTACTCTCTAGATAAACGAGAATATTACTTTGACAGGAATTCTAATTTATTGTTATTTTAGAAATAAAATCTTTTTTAGATATTCTTTTTACTTTAAAATGTGTGGTTGCGTTGTTCTTGATTTTCTATCTGAATGGTTCTTGTTGCTCTTTTGTAACATCTGAAAATTTATAAAATTCATTTTGTTGTATTTTTGAAGTGAACAATGTTTTTCTTTTCCTGCCATTTAATCCAGGTTTTCTTCAGCTTGATTTTGATCTTTTTGTCCTGGTTCACTCTCTTTCTTTTTTGTAAATGCACATTTTTTAGTTTATGTCACCTTTCTTGTTCTTGTTCTTGTATTTGTTCTTGATTTTGTTCTTGTTCTTGTTCTATCTTGACAAATAAATAAAATGGTTAGATCTCCTCGTAATTTTGATGCTATCCTTGGTCTCTACAGGACTGGTAAACTTCATCTCTCCCAAGGGGTGAGTCTACTGAGTTTTAGTTCTAAGTACTGAGTACTAGTTCTAAGTACTGAGCACTAGTTCTAAGTACTGAGTACTAGTTCTAAGTACTGAGTACTAGTTTTAAGTACTGAGTACTAGTTCTAAGTACTGAGTACTACTTCTAAGTACTGAGTACTAGTACTGAGTACTTATGTAGTACTAGTACTAATTACGGAGAGCTAGTTCTAAGTACTGAGTACTAGTTCTAAGTACTGAGTACTAGTTCTAATTACTTAATTACTGAGTACAAGTTTTAAGTACTGAGTACTTGCTACTGAGTACTAGTTCTAAGTACTGAGTACTAGTTCTCAGTATTGAGTACTAGTTCTAAGTACTGAGTACTAGTTCTAAGTACTAAGTACTAGTTCTAAGTACTGATTACAAGTTCTAAGTACTGAGTACAAGTTCTAAGTACTAAGTACTAGTTCAAAGTACTGAGTACTAGTTCTAAGTACTGAGTACTAGTTCTAAGTACTAAGTACTAGTTCTAAGTACTGATTACAAGTTCTAAGTACTGAGTACAAGTTCTAAGTACTAAGTACTAGTTCAAAGTACTGAGTACAAGTTCTAAGTACTGAGTACAAGTTCTAAGTACAGCGTACTATAAGTTCTAAGTACTGAGTACTTGTTCTAAGTACTGAGTACTAGTTCTAAGTACTGCGTACTAGTTCTAAGTACTGAGTACTAGTTCTAAGTACTGAGTACAACTACTTCTAAGTACTGAGTACAAGTTCTAAGTACTGCGTACTAGTTCTAAGTACTGCGTACTAGTTCTAAGTACTGAGTACTAGTTCTAAGTACTGAGTACAAGTTCTAAGTACTTAGTACAAGTTCTAAGTACTAAGTACTAGTTCTAAGTACTGATTACTAGTTCTAAGTACTGAGTACTAGTTCTAAGTAATGAGTACTTGTTCTAAGTAATGAGTACTAGTTCTAAGTAATGAGTACTAGTTCTACGTACTAAGTACTTGTTCTAAGTACTGAGTACTAGTTCTAAGTACTTAGTACAAGTTCTAAGTACTGAGTACTAGTTCTAAGTACTGAGTACTAGTTCTAAGTACTGAGTACTAGTTCTAAGTACTTAATTACTGAGTACAAGTTTTAAGTACTGAGTACTTGCTACTGAGTACTAGTTCTAAGTACTGAGTACTAGTTCTCAGTATTGAGTACTAGTTCTAAGTACTGAGTACTAGTTCTAAGTACTAAGTACTAGTTCTAAGTACTGATTACAAGTTCTAAGTACTGAGTACAAGTTCTAAGTACTAAGTACTAGTTCTAAGTACTGAGTACTAGTTCTAAGTACTGATTACTGAGCACTAGACAACCAAGTACCAAGTACTATATACTAGACTTAGTACTGCTTACTTTTTTCTGAAAACTTTTGAAAACTGTTTAAAAATCAGAAAAACTTGTTGTTTAGGTTTGCGTGCAGGATTTCTGTGAAGAGCTTGAATACTGGGGGTTGACTGATCTTCATCTTGAACCCTGCTGTCAGCATACTTACTACAGAGCTCGCTGGTTACTACCACAGACAGGGCTGCCGGTCAGTTCCTTTACCAGGGAAATATATTTTCAAGAGTCTTCTCCTTTCTAGAAAAAAGAATAATTAATTTTTAAGGAGAAGAGGCAGGGATAATTCGAGCAAATATTTTAGGAGCTACGACATCTGCTTTACTATTCTAGATATGGACCATATGCTTTAAATGCCAATTTCTCTGTGGTTTTTTACGGATGATGGAAATTAAAAAAAGCAAATGGTAGAAAAATATTCTGTAATTTGATTACATACTTTTATGAATGTATCTGTGGAAAATGAATGACAATTTGAATTGATATATTAAAAGAACTGAGTACTTGTCACATACTCTAATTCTTTAATGCGTTTATCTTTGCAAACTTGATGCCGTAGACCTTTAAGATATTTCAATCCTGATGCCGTAGACCTTTAACTTTTAAGATATTTCAAACTATGAAATTTTTTAGATGAACTAGTCAAAGTTGTGAATATCTAAGGATTGCATCATTAGGTTGTAAAGATTTAGGAATAATAACATCTAGTTCCTGTACGCACTCTGTATAGGGTGATGACCAAGACGAGGAGTTTGGGAACGGATTATTTTCATCTTCACAGCGACGACTCTGGAATCTATTCGAGAATCCGCATCACTCGGGAGCTGCCAAAGTAAATAATTATATATTATGTATTATATAGATAGTTGCTGTTGTATCCTGCCTATTTGTTGTTGTATCCACCCTGTATTATATAGATAGTTGCTGTTGTATCCCGCCTTTTGTTGTTGCATCCACCTTGTATTATATAGATAGTTGCTGTTGTATCCTGCCTATTTGTTGCTGTATTCACCCTGTATTACATAGATAGTTGCTGTTGTATCCTGCCTATGTATTGTTGTATCCCCCCTGTATTATATAGATAGTTGCTGTTGTATCCTGCCTTTTTGTTGTTGTATCCACCCTGAACTATATAGATAGTTGCTGTTGTATCCTGCTTATTTGTTGTTGTATCCCCCCTGTACTATATAGATAGTTGCTGTTGTATCCTGCCTATTTGTTGTTGCATCCACCCTGTATTATATAGATAGTTGCTGTTGTATCCTGCCTATTTGTTGCTGTATTCACCCTGTATTAGATAGTTGCTGTTGTATCCTTCCTTTTTGTTGTTGTATCCCCCCTGCATTATATAGATAGTTGCTGTTGTATCCTTCCTATTCGTTGTTGTATTCCCCATGTATTAAATAGATAGTTGCTGTTGTATCCTTCCTATTCGTTGTTGTATCCCCCCTGTATTATATAGATAGTTGCTGTTGTATCCTATTGTTGTATCCCCCCTGTATTATATAGATAGTTGCTGTTGTATCCTGCCTTTTTGTTGTTGTATCCACCCTGAACTATATAGATAGTTGCTGTTTTATCCTGTGTTTTTGTTGTTTTATCCCCCCTGTATTATATTGATAGTTGCTGTTGTATCCTGCCTATTTATTGTTGTATTCCCCTTGAATTATATAGATATTTGCTGTTGTATCCTGTCTATTTGTTGTTGTATCCACTCTGTATTATATAGATAGTTGCTGTTGTATCCTGCCTATTTGTTGTTGTATCCACCCTCTGCCTTATATTCTCTACTCTACCTAAGTTTCAACAGAAAGATTCTAGAGGAGTTGTCCGTAAGCAATTCTTTTAACATCATGACTAAGCTTTTATAATCTTTATACAGAGAGAACCAGAAAACATTGAATTTTGTTTTCCGCTTCTTCTTTTTATTATTAAAGGTCGATAAGGATTTGTAATTTGGAACTGAGCTATTTCTAAAAAGTGCTCTAGACAATAAGATACAAAAGATTAAGAACACGAAGGAATTGGGTCTTTGCCACAGAACGAAAATTTCTAACTAAATGGTGAAATCCTTGGATATTTAAAAACTGATATTATTTGATCGAAATAGATTAATATTTTGAATTGTCTAAGGTCTACAACATAGGGTTCCGAAGACATAGAGATTAAAAAAAACAGCCCTTGTGACAAAGAGTCAATTGTTTTGCAAGAGACGTTTTTGATACTAGGCTTTCAGTGAGCTTCGCGCCCATTTTTCATTTCAGCTATGAACATGTTCTCATTATAACGTTGAAAAACAAAGGGAAAAAAATTTCCCGGATTTTATAAAAAAGATTTGCGGATTTTCAAGATTTAAAATTTGTTACAAAAATAAAAAAACTTTTAAGCACAAATTTCTAAAATTTTGATCATTCATAAACCTTCCCTGGGGTCACGTGAGATCCCACAACAAATTTGGGCCCGATCGGATCAGCCGTTTTGACGTTTATTGGAAACAAACAGACAGATAGACAAGCCAAATTTATATATAGAAGAATATATTTTCAAATTTGGATTCTTTCTTTAAAATTACAAATTTGAAAGTATAATGTTTTGAAAGATACTTTTATATCGTATTTTTCAGAGGAAGAATACTTTTTCGAGGTAGCGGAAGCCGTTTTTGTCGGTTGGTTCACATTTGAATATGTTGTCAGATTTATAGCTGCTCCGAAAAAAATCAAGTAAGTAAAATTATGTAACAAGAACTTATCCCATTTAAAGGGACTGTAGACGGAATTTAAAGGTTCACAGAGGTACCATTAAAACCGGTGTCAAAGTTCAATGATTGTGGATTCTCTATATTTAAGTGACTTGCGCATTTACGGTGCAGAGAATGAAGGAAATTGTGAGAATTTATTCATTTCTGTCACTACTTTATCTTCCTTATTGTTAGCCTGATGTAACAAGGCTAATAAAGGATATCAAGGTAAATTGTGGTGAAACGCTTTAAATTGAAATTGTCCTTGTATTACGTCAACACTACCTTTAAATGTTTGTTTTTTCGGGACAGAGAATGACTAAATTATTTTAACAATAAGAAAGTGATGAATTTTTATGCATAGTGTTAAACTGTAAACACATTTGACCTACTAGATACCTACTTTATGTTTAGGTTTATTAAAGCAGGGATAAATATAGTAGACCTACTAGATATATTAACCTACTATGTATTTAGGTTTATCAAAGGAGGGATGAATATAGTAGACCTACTAGGTATATTACCCTACTTTATGTTTAGGTTTATTAAAGAGACCTACTAGGTATATTACCCTACTTTATGTTTAGGTTTATCAAAGGATGGATGAATATAGTAGACCTACTAGGTATATTACCCTACTTTATGTTTAGGTTTATCAAAGGATGGATGAATATAGTAGACCTACTAGGTATATTACCCTGCTATATGTTTAGGTTTATTAAAGGAGGGATTAATATAGTAGACCTACTAGATATATTACCCTACTATATGTTTAGGTTTATTAAAGGATTGATGAATATAGTAGACCTACTAGATATATTACCCTACTTTATGTTTAGGTTTATTAAAGAATGGATGAATATAGTAGACCTACTAGGTATATTACCCTGCTATATGTTTAGGTTTATTAAAGGATGGATGAATGTAGTTGACCTACTAGGTATATTACCCTACTATATATTTAGGTTTATTAAAGGAGGGATGAATATAGTAGACCTACTAGATATATTAATATGTTTAGGTTTATTAAAGGAGGGATGAATATAGTAGACCTACTAGGTATATTACCCTACTTTATGTCTCTGTTTCTAAACCTTGTAACGACAACAAGCAATACTCAGAATAAATACCAGGTGCATTATTTAACTTTATTTCATGTTTATTCTAGAGTAGCCAGTATTTTAGCTCTGTACGCTTTTTATTCAATTCTTGTTTTGTAATTATATTTCATGAATTTCACTTTCACTTTAAAACAATATTATTCTTTGTTTTACAGCCGAAAATGTCAGATTTATTTTCTCTGACTTATAAATTCTATTTTTTTTCATGTCAAAGCATAAGTTATTCTCCTCTTGTGTTTATATTTAACGACATATTTAAAACTTTTCTAGAATCCTTGTAAAAGTTTAAATTAAAGGAAGAAATCTTGCCGCCATTTATTCGTTTCCGCAGCACATTTTTCCCCTCCATTTTTCACATTTTCATTGTATATTTTAAAGGGACTGTAAGTGTAATTTCAAGTAACCCTCCATGCAAAGATGCTAATGTCGGATTTACAAGGGTACCCTTGAAACCTTAATCTGATAAAAATGTGGAGATATCGTCGATTTTCTGACTCGAAAAGTGTTTAATTTTGATATGTTCTATATTGCTTCTTATAAAAAGAATCAAGTGGTTATTAGAATTCAAATCTGTTATCTTTTGGGCTGCCATCAAGCGGAACCGGATTCATTTCAGTGGAAATAAATTAACCCAAATATTATGTATAAAAAATGTCATTTAACATTTATTTTATATGTATATAATAAAGCTCTTCGATTATTTATATCTATTTGTATATATTTTGTATATATGTAGTAAACGCCCTTCTCTATAATAGTTTCTCGAACCCGTATCTAATCCAGGTATAACTCAGATTCTCCTGACTATCAATGTCAACACAGGGATATAATCCTGTGATCTATCAACACCAATACCACTGGGCGCGATCTTTAAATTGTATGTTTCATCGAGGACCAACTATGAATGTCAACAGTGACACAAGCTCTTAATCGATCAATGTCTCAACTAGGACACGATCCACATGGCTACAATCCCGTGAACTATCAACACCAATACCACTGGGCGCAATCTTTAATTTGTATGTTTCAACGAGGGCCAGCTATGAATATCAACAGTGACACAAGCTCTTAATCAATCAATGTCTCAACTAGGACACGATCCACACAGCTACAATCCCTTGAACTATCAACGCCAATACCACTGGGTGCGATCTTAAATTTATATGTTTTAACGAGGGCCAGCTATGAATGTCAACAGGGGCACAAGCTCTTAATCAATCAATGTCTCAACTAGCTACCAATATCAATCGGAAGCTCGAATCTGTTGATGCCAAATCAATGGGGACGATCCTCAACCTGTTTTATGAAAACAGGGAACGATAACTCTTTCACAGTGAACAATACGGAAACTCTATACCAACTGATTTATTTTAGGTTTATATGTCACAAGATAAAGTTGATAGACGTAATTACAATTCATACATCTCTATCTATATCACATGATTATATCATGTTACGTATTACAACACAGTTGAAATCCGCGCAATTAAGATGTAGGTCATTATATATATATCATATGAATAAGTTAATAATTTGAAACGCAGTTCGAATGAATAATGGTTTTTACGGAGATGTTTACAAACCTGGATAGTTAATAATGTACAACGTACTGCATGTTTACAGAATAGCATGTTACCCGATATTTATTACATATATGTTAGCTTTTGATGACCATAATGGCTGGACCAAATTGGCTGACATTTTTTAGGGTACTCATGGGTAACATTAACATAGGCTAAAAAATCTTTTTTTTCTTCAAAATTTGAAGTCTTTTTTTCAAGTGTTTTTTTATTCCACGGGCAACACCGTGCACTTCAGCTTGTGTATAATGTAAATCAAGGTATTCAGAATTCCTTGTTAAAAATCAGTGAGCCTTTTATTTACAACCCCATTTTTAGTTTTCATGGATCAAATGTAAATTTTTTGTTTTTAGGTTTTGGTTGTCCTTATAGTTTCAGATTTTTGTTAAATTTTATAATATCATTTGCGAAGGCGAAGCATTGTATTGTATCAACTGTGTTTATATTGCGAACTGTGTGGGGGGTTAAAGCATTAAGTCAGCAGGAGAAACCGTATTAAACCAGACATCAGACACTTTAAACAATCAGACTTAGACAATTCAAAACTGTACGAGGCTGCCAGAGTCCGAAATTTAAGAGAGTATTATTGAACGAAACTCCCAAGATTCTGCTTTGGGGTCTAAACATTTGTGTAGATTTTGATTTAAGAATTAGAAAAAATGGAGTATATAAAGTTAACCAAAAAAAAAGTTATATTTTGTTACAGGGTGCTTTGTGTCCACTTGCTTTGTACAATTTTTTTGCAATAGATTTTTTATTGAATGAAAAGATAACAGACGAGCCAGGCTATATAATGAGAAGATGCATGTTTACTCATAATGAATATGTTTGTAAAGACGACGTAAAACTCTTCAAATATGACGTCTTCTGCCTTGAGTGTGGTCTTTAAATGGCTTTTTTTATGATTTGGGAAAAAGTCCTAATCCTATCCTGTGATGGTAACCCCCCCCCCATATGTAGATGGTCTATAATTAATAATTTTAACACATTTTAGGGAGAGAAAAGTTGTTTAAAAACTCATATTAAAACATTAAATAAGCCAACTATGGTTTAAGATTTTAAGGGGAGGGGGGGTGGGGGAACTGTTATGGGGGTAACCGGAAAATGCCATTTTCCTTATGTTAAATGCCATTTTTATTAAGGATGAAATGCGGAGAATAGCGCAGATTTTCAGGATAATGAGAATATTAAGGTACAATTACTTAGGGCTATCGTAATGCTGTGTATTCTAAGGAAGAAAAAAAACGCAAAGAATAAAGTCTAAACTTACTTTACTAAAAAAAAATCCCTTTATCTCCTTAATTAACTGTTAAGGCGTCAGATTTTTTTTCACTCCTTAATATATCTCTCTTTGAATAATGTGAACCTTTATGCAAAATATCAAACCTATATAAAGTTATAAAATTGAATACTTTAGAATATTCAAACTGGCTCGCCATATAACAGGACTTCAAACACTTGGGATGACTTTAAAAAATAGGTTAGTACCAACAAAAAATGCTTGAAGAATAGGCTAGTTTAGTATCAACAAAAATTGAAGATTAAGTTAGTATCAACAAAACTTGAAGAATAGGTTAGTATTGACAAATACCTGAAGAATAGGTTAGTATAAACAACAAATACTTGAAGAATAGGTTAGTATCAACAAATACCTGAAGAATAGGTTAGTATCAACAAATACCTGAAGAATAGGTTAGTATCAACAAATACCTGAAGAATATGTTAGTGTCAACAAATACTTGAAGAATAGGTTAGTGTCTACAACAAATACTTGAAGAATAGGTTAGTATAAACAAATTACCTGAAAAATAGGTTAGTATTGACAAATTAACCTGAAGAATAGGTTAGTATCAAGAAAACTTGAAGAATAGGTCAGAATAATCAAATATTTGAGAAGAATATCATTAGAAAGAATTTGCCTCCAAAAATTAAGCTTTATGCAAAGTTTTTAGCTCAATAAAAAATGTCAAATTTTGATCGGCATATGTTTGGTAACTAACATTTTGGTAACCTGACAATTTTGTAAAAAATGAGATATTTTTCACATCAGGTTTCATTGTGTATACAACTGGAGTTCACGATCAATAAACAGACGTCTGAATTCAGGAATGTTTAAGGTTCCTTTGGACACGAAATACAAAATCTTCAAGAAAAGCCCAAATTCATAAATTTGATGTTTTATGTTAAAATATTTCGTTAAAAATTCAGGATGGGTATTTTATGCAACAAGTGGCCGATAGATGGCAGTCAAAAAACTTACGAGTAGCATGGCGTGCCGGGACAACTATAGGCCAGCTTAGCCTACACCGGTAAACTGTACAAGATCTGTGTATATTAATAAGTCTGTGATTTGAAAATTTTAAAAAAATTGAGGCGCTGAACAAGTCTAGAATTAAACATTATATTCTTGATTCTATTTTTTTAGTTACAAAGAGTTGGGTTTACTGATGCTGGTTGTGATAATGGGTATGCTGATATTCAGTGGTTTGGCTTATGTATCAGAGAAAGATGAACAGGATACAGAGTTTATATCCATGCCTCAGGTATCCTTCTTATTTAGGAGTACTAATAGCAAGGTTGTATAATAAGGTTGGTTACTCTTAATGCGCTCCAATGTATTGAGCGCATCGAGACAACCTTGACTAATACTATCTTAAGTAGCTTGTCGTTGTCCTACAGAGAAACCTATAAACCTTTAGAATAGAAATACGACTGTTAGACAAAAATGTTGGTTTTAAATTGTCCAATAGAAATGAAACACAGAAATTGTGCACTGTGCAGTATACCCTGACCCACATAATTTCAACAAACTGGAAAAACTCTATGTATTATGACAAGATTAAATACACACAAGATTGCTTAAATGTCCTCTTTCTGTTCCAGGTTTGCATGGGTCTTATATGCAAGGTGGCCCACGACACATGACAGTTGGTGAATAATTTAAAATGTCTTCTTCCATAATTTGTTAAGTTGTTTAATACCAAAGAGAATTATAAGAATATTTAATAGTAGACATATTATACTAAAATTGATTTCAAAGTAAAATATATTTTAGTAAAATATTATATTGAACGAAAATAAATGCAAAAAGTCTTTAATATTTATAACAGTATATGGAAGAAGACAGTTCAAATTATTTACCAACTGTCATGTTTGTTTGTTAAATTATCAAACTAGGTACATGTTAAAAAGAAAATATAATTTTTTCAGAATTGATATCAATAAGAATTTAAATTTAGAGATAAAAAGTCCCTTCTTACATATTAAGCGAGAAGTTTTTTAAAGTTTAACTCTTTAACTGGTTGAAACACTGTAATTATTTACCAAAGGAATTGATTCGTTGCCACAAATTTTCTAATTTTTTATCTTTGCAACCTGATCGTGTAAAACTTATATATTAGATTTTTGATCTAACAGAATTCATTGGGTTGCAAGAATATAAGGATATAAGACTGAAATCCTTTCTTAAAGAAAACCTACAGTGGTCAGCGATTATATCAATACAATGAAGTCGACTTTTCCCTTTAAGTTTTGATTGTTAATAGGCTTTTTTTATTTTAAGTTTACAAGTAGTTAAAAAGAAGCTTTTTTAATTGGCAGCTTCGCTTTGTTTCCATGTGTATGTCTATGTGTATCCATGCTGTTCAAAAGTTTAATATAAATCAAATTTAAATCGAAAGTCGTCTTCATTGTATAGATATATGCGACGATGACTGTAGTTTTTTTTAAATACTTATATTTGTTCTAGGCTCTATACTGGGCTATTATAACTATGACAAGTGTAGGGTATGGAGATATAACTCCTAAAACCTGGTTTGGAAAACTAGTTGGATCAGGTCAGCATTATCTTTATATATTTCCTATTAGTGCTTAGGATCCGCAATGTTTTAGCTCCACAGGTCGAAATCCGAAAAATATTCGGATCCATGGAAGGGGATTTAGTTTTGTCACAAACTCAAATGTTCTAATCCCAACATCTTTCCAACGTGATGGTAGAGAACTTTGATATTTCAAACTTGAATAATTTAATCTGACAGAATTCATAGTTTGAAATATGTAAGGCTTATGACATTGTTGTGTATAAAATATAAAGGTTTAAACATGGGTTTGTGGCAATAATACAGTTCCTTAGGTCCATTTTGATATATTTTTATACGCATCTCCGTGTTAAAACAGAATGATTTCTAAGCACTTTCTACGAGGTGTTAAACCTACTGTATAAGAGAAACCTGTCTATTCAAAAGTTTCAAGCTCTTTAAAAGAAACCAATTTCGACAAATTCAAATTAGTTGAACTTATTCTTTAGCATCTCTGTTTTCAATTATAACTTCTCTAATTTAAGAGTTATTGAGATGAACAAAAATATTTTTTTTCTACTATGTAACCGGGTAAATTTGATTTTTGTATACTAGTCCTTAAAATTTAAACTAGTGGAGCTACAAGGTCTCAAAGTCGTGCTTATTCTGTCTAGTTCAGTGTTCAGGATAAAGAATAAAGACCGAGATATTAATATAAAACTTCGCATTTTACTTTAACATTGATCCTTGATATTTGTCAGGTTTCCGCACTGTGAGGTTTTTGCTTAGATTTAATCATTTTAAAGTGAAAATATACAGCTAGCTCAAATCCGGAAGCAAAAATATTTTCATACATTTTAAGATTTTTGCCTTTCAACCGTTTCATTTTTCTTTAAGAAAGTGATCATCACTTTTCATAATCAGTTAATTGAAAAGTTTAAGGAAAGGAATATACAGCTTAATTGGCCCTAGGTTTAAAGAGTGCTCTAAATTATTCTAAAAGGTTACTAATAGTACACAAAGAAAGAAAGAAAGAAAGAATGAAAGAAAAGAAAAAATAAAGATAGAAAAGAAAAAAGAAAGAAAGAAAAGAATAAAAGAATAAAAGAAGAAAGAAAAGAAAAAAAGAAGAAAGTAAGAAATAAAATAAATCTTTTTATTTTTATTATTTTTTTAGCATGTGCCATCTGTGGTGTGCTGTGTATCTCCCTACCCATCCCTATCATCGTGAACAACTTCAACAAGTTCTACGAGAAGGCCAAAATCGAGGAGGAGATACTCTCGAAGAAGAAGAAAGCTTCCTGGGAGGACGCAAAGCGAGGTGGTTTCTGAAATCTATGTGAAAGAAGGGGGGAGGGGGGGGGG